TTTTCTTGGCTGTACCAGGCAAATATGTGTATCCAACAGGTAAATAAATTCTTGTGTTCAGCAGTGACAGAATTCATAAAGCTAAACATGAAATGTATAGCCAGGACACCAAGAATTGTCTGTAACATGGGATGCTTGGATCTGCATGGATCTTTTCCTTTATCAGCTTTGGTGTATCTTCCAGTTCTGGCACATCTATCTCATGAGAGGGAATGATTGTGGTTTTGACTGCTGAATTGAGTCCTTGACAGTTGTAGCTTGCCTTCCATACAGAGAAAAGCTCTGCTTTGGTCCAAGAGAGCAGAATTGGATTTTTGGAAGCTGTCATCCTTCCTGTTTTGCATTGAAAATGAATATGGCCATGCTATAGGATGGCAGGACCAGATTTTAGCCATCCTACTCTGGGATAAGGATGTAATGCTTATTCCTGATTATTTGAGAGCATTTGGATGTTGATATTTTTTCAGTATAAGGAGTGGCAGTTGTTGATCTCATGACAAAAGGGAGGTTAGGTGAGAGAACACCTGAATCTTAGTGGGTTTGGGGCCAAGCTTCATTCAGTAATGCAGCTGAGAAATGCACTGTGGTGTTTAGAATTGCCCTGCAGAGGTCTTTCAGAGAGAAAACAAATAGGTGCTAAGTCATCTGTTAGATGCAGCACTCTTAACAGGCATGAGGATTAACGTGCAGCACTGCTGGTGTAGGTGCACACACCACACAGAGTTAAACACACGAACAGCAGGCTCACACTGTGCTTACTACAGATGTCTGAATGAGTGAGTGCCTGTGGGCTGGAGCTGCATGTCTTGTGGCTTTCACTCTGCTCCATTGGGAAGTCTTCACTCCTTTTGTTTTTATCCTTTTCCAGCTCCAGTACTTTGGAGCACACAGCTCCCATCCCCTGACCTAACAGCTCCATTGAAATGCATTCCAGCCCCATGATTTCATGGTACCAGGCAGAAGTCCCCTGCCACGCTGCTATGCTGCCCGCTGCTTCTCACAGAGTGAACAAACAGGGAACATAAACTCTCTCCAAAGGAGCAATGTTCTTTGTATATTTTTAGTGCAAGAAATCCAAGATTCATTTGAGGGTGTTTTGTGTGGGCTTTTTTTAATATAGACTTCTGCTAACACAATGGAATATTTCATGCCACCCTGTTTGCTCTAACTTCTCGTGCTTTATGTTGTTAAATGGAATCAAAGGAGTTAAAGATGAAAGACTCCTAGTCAACTGGTCCCTCAGCTGGGAGCCAGTATGAGTTTGTTCTTTGTAATGGATTTGCCAATGCTTTACTCAGGTTCAGCCTAGCTCAGTTTTCATTATTGGAGTTACTTATTTCTGTGAATTCTCTACTTCAGGTTAAGTAATTGCTGAGCTTAAACTGAATATAATACTGCTACTGTTTGCTTCTAATGTTTCACTTGCTATTTATTGCCCTTGTACTGAACAAACCTTTTGTATTTGTTTACCATTTGAACATACAAAGCACCATTAAAGATATCATGCTTGCCTTCACAGGTATTCTCTTTAGTGGATAGAAAACTTGATTCTTTCTTTATATGAAACTGTGTCCATTTGACATTGTACATTATGTATTTTCTTTTCAACATGTAGTGTGTCACCAGATGCTAACTTATGTAGTATTGCAACAAACGTACCTTTCATTAGCTCATTGTTAGCCTTTGAATATTTGGAGTAAGTACAGTATTTGAACATACAGTTTATGCTGAGACACTGATGTCTTGTATTTTCTTGGTGAAAGACATTCTCAGACTGCCTGTTTAAATGCCACTATTGCATTTTTAAGTATTGAGTGTATTATACTCAGATTAAGGAACACAATTTTGCCAATACATCCAATATGTTCATAATAACATTATCTACAGACTGGACAGTGATCTGAGGAGTTGAAAAGGCAGATAATGAACCTGCTATGGGAAACATCCAAGGCAAGGACTGCAGCTGCAAAGGAACTGAGTCTGCCTGACTTGGGGACCAACAAAATTTCTAGACAGAACTGTTCTCCACAGGCTCAGAGTGTTGGCACTTCTTGGGTCAAGGTATCAGCACATGAGCTGATCTGTGCTGAGTGCACAGAAATTCCTATGCCCTGGTAGAACACACAGTTACCCCAGGGGGTGGAGCTTCTCCTGCACTGAAGTAGCACCAGCTTCAAGTCCCAGGGAAAAGAAGCAGTAACATTAGGAGACATGTCAGGTGATGCTGTCTTTTACTAGACTGAAGTTGGAAGATGTGCAAGTTTCTGCACTATGCTTTAACTTGGTCATCCTAAGATACTTTAATTGATGTTGGTCCATAGTGGATTTCTGGCACATGATAACATTTCTTAGCTTTTACAACCGTGCAGGTAAAATACATATTTTATATGAAGTGACTGGAGTCAAGGCCTTAACAGCTTAATTAGTAATAATAGTAATTATCTTAACATGGCATTCTCTCTGCCTTCTTAGAGTAAGAGCTGTATATCAGGAGCTGTATATAAGAGCTCTTTGGGGAAGCAAGGGGTGTAAAGCACAAGTGGAGGAAGAAAAGAATACAGGAGGGATGAAATTGTCTGATAAGAAAATGGAGAGTAGGGCTGTAAGAATTATGGTCTGTTAAACAGGCATATAAATGAGCATCAGAAAGCAACCAGTACTGTGGGGAGAAGTAATTGTGGGAAGGAGCATCAGGATTTGAACTTAGTGAGTGGAGATACGGACATGAAGAAAGGTTATGTGGTCTGACAACCAACCAACTGTTCTGGGACCCCAGTAGGGGTAGAACACCACATTACTGGTCAACTATTTCCTCCCTGACTTCTTATTGTCTTAGTTAAGAAACATAGTAAGCAAAAAACAAATGTTATGCCTGTGAAGTACCTGTTGCATTGCCTAGAGGCTGCTCTGGGCCTGTAGTAATAGAAGTACAGCTCTGAAGTCTAGTGAATCCCAAGTTTTGGTTAGACTTAATCTCATTTATACACATTGGAATGTTGAATGCCTCCTACTTCAGGAGAGCACCTGACCCTTCTCAGTGTTAACAGGAAGCTGTTTGCGGTCCTGGGCCAGGTAGTAGCTTAGTGGGAGGTGAGTGGATTCTGTGAGGGGTGAGAAGTGCTCTGATATAGGTTCCTAGGAAAAGAAGGAATCAAATGCCAAGTGAGAGATTGAGTATCATAACTCCATTTTTGTGTAATGAAGAAAAGAGGCACATGGATGGTCGAGGACTGGAACACAAGGACTGGAAGCTGGAATTGCTGTTGGAAGAAGTGGTGTGCTTTTCATTGCTTCAAGTGACTACCTTGAAGCTCCTGTGCTGGAGGTTCTCCAAGAACACTTAGAAACTGACTCAAGAATATACTGGAAGTCAAGAAGATATTTGGGATGGGGTGAAGGGTTGCTATCAAGACTTAAATGTGTAGGCATTTATGTGAACAGGAGAAATTAGCATGGCAGCTAGCCCAAAGCTGCTCTTGGTATGTCAGCACAATCATTTAAATGATGGATAAGAAAATTGTTTTGATCTGAAAAACAGAATTATTTTAGAAGAAAAGAGAATGTTTCAGCAAATTTAGAAAGAAATAGTCTAGGTTTTTCTGAGCTATAGATCATGCTTAAAAGTAATGAAGTCCCATTCCACTTGGAAACACTTTCTCATTAATTTTTCTCAAATCTGAGTCAAAATGAATTAAGTCAATTTGAAGTCCTTTTTTTAATAGTTAAAAGTAATTGTACTTGGCCTTGACTTTTACTGCCATTTTGTGTGGTTTAATAGTTGTATGACTTTTTTTTCTCCCACACATTTGTAAGAGATTCACAGAAAAGAAAACAGACTACATCAGTAAATAAATTCTTCCTGCTAAGTTATAGATCTTTCTCATAAAATTTAGCAGGAAAAAAATTGTGCAGCCACAGGCACAATGAAGTTGATGATCCTGCCACACAGCTGAGTATAAGGATTTGTATTGTATTTGCTGTGATGGAGGGGACCCTCATTTATAAGTTGAGCGGTCTTGCATGCTCTTGAAACTTGGCATGTAACAAGCATTTTCACATAAAACATTGCTGAGCTACTTCTGAATATGGTGGAATTCTTTGGGAAGGTCAGGGAGGTAATTGATCATATGCTGACAGCTTGGGGCTCTGAGAAAATGGTCAGATGGAGGGCTGGGATGCAGGAAGACAAACTTTCTAAGATGGTAACTGTCACTTAGCCAAGCTATACATGTTTCAAGCCTTTTAATCTTTGCTCACAACCTTAGCTTCTTAGTCTTTTTTGTTTTTGCTGTTTCTCTGTGAACTCTTTTCCAATGTTAGTCCTGGTGCATGGACAGTATTCCAGGTGTGATGTTGAGCTATAGCCATATTTCTTTGTAGAGCTCTTCTAGAAATTCTATTGCTGCCAAAATGGGGAGTTTCAGAACTTTGATGATCTCTTTCATTATTCTTTGACCCTTGGGTCAAGAACTAGGTTTCTTTCAGGAACTGCTCAAAATGTTCTTTGCAGCTAGAAAAATAAGACTTCAATGTTCATGGGAGTTAAGATGGCAATCTACTGGGACATTGCATGAGTTTACAACACAAATGTTTGAATTTCTCTGCTCTGTGACCCTAAGTTTCTATATCAGAGTGGATATAGAAACCGAGGTGTGGATATAGAAACTAAAGAGAAACATACAGCTTTGGTGCAAAAGAAATGAAAGAATCTACCACTCGGTTTCTGAGACCAGCTTTTCACCAGTCTTGTTTACAGCTGTATTTTTTTTGCATATGCAGTCTCACAGATTAAAATTATGGTAGTTGTTAATCTCTTTGCTGTAAGATAGAGTATTTAACTGACTTACTGCAATTATTGGTTCTGACATCATTTATACATTAATACACTGACAGGTGGGGAGAAGAGACAGGCATAAATGAGGCTTTTAAAATTACTTTAAAATATAAAAGAATCTGTCAAAAAAAATGTGTGCGTTAATCTTGCCAATGCTTTGTCACAGAACATGGTCATGGATCGGATTTTCTCTGGTATCCAGCCAACTGGGACCCCTCATCTGGGGAACTACCTTGGAGCCATTCAGAACTGGGTGGATCTGCAGGAAGAGTGCAGCTCAGTGCTCTATAGCATTATGGATATGCACTCTTTCACCATGCCCAAGGAGCCAGCTGTCCTGCGCCAGAACATCCTGGACACCACTGCTGCCATCCTTGCCTGTGGGATTGACCCCAAGAAGTGTCTCCTGTTCCGGCAGTCACTGGTGAGTGCTCCTGTTGTGTTGGATTTTTTTCTGATTAAGTGGCTTTTCACAGATCTTAATGAATGAGTGTAGCATTGCTGAACTCCTTTATCGTGTTTGTGTTGGTGGACCTAGAAAATGTTAGCAGTGTTGGATTTTAAACTTATCCCTTGCTGCAATTTTGAAATTTTGCATGCTGCAACCATGACTGAGAAGCCCATTTAGGGATAAGTACACTGTAAATTTCTGAAGCAGAGCTAGGAGTTTGTACAGATTATGAGTAATATACTTCAAAGACCTCTTAGAAGACCACTAATTTGTCTCTGTGTCACTTTAGTCACAAAAGGTTAACTCATAAATGCATAAACACGGCCTGTGTTTATGTGGAACCATAAAGGTAAGGAAAACATGTTTCTGTGCTTTTGTATCAGCTATTGCCACTTATTCTGCCAGCTGCACAGTAATCACAAAGTAACAGGTGATTAACATGGTAAGTTTTGTATCAGTTCCACCATGATCATCAGGAGGTTACATCTTCTCTGGGGCTTACTTTCCCTTCTTTGCTATAACCTCCTTTTCATGCGGATGCTTTTCCATCTGATCTGGTAGCTCACGTATGTAAACCATGTGCTTCTCTTGACTACCCCAAGGGGTACTGGGCTTACCTTCCCACTGGGTATATAGCTATCACATATTACATTTTCCTGGAACTCAACTTAGTTTCTTGCTTAATGAACTTTCTGTTACTGACTCTAAACTGGCAAACTTCTGTAATTTCCACAGACACATATGTGTCATAGCTTCTACTCTTGTGAGGACACCCACAAGTATCTTTGCAACACACAGGATCTGAATTTTATCAATGCAAGCTGAAATTGTATTGTATTCTCCCTTTCAACATGATTCTTTACAGGCAGAGTTTCCCGGGGTTGTTAAACTGTAAATGGCAATCATAGCTCTATATCCCTGGTGAATAATGAATTGATGAAGACAGATACACTTCCTGCTTCACTTTTCCTCTGCATTAAAAAACCAGTCTAAATAGATGAGCTCAGAATTCTAGTGGAAATATGTTTAAATAAATTCACCCCATTTTTTCAAATTTGTTTATAATTTTAAATATGTTACCACCTTGGGTTTTAATTTTCCTGTACTCTGACTTGTCAGCTCAAAATGATGAAGTCATTAGCTGGAATAATCGCAAGGTGAGTTCCAAGCCAATGATGCAGTAAAAACCAGTCTAGAGATGTTTTTTTCTTGTTTTCAAGCAAGTGAACAATTCAATTAGTTACAACACAGGATCAGTGACTAGATACACAGAGAGTACTCTTCAGCATGAAGGATAAATGCTTTGCAGGTTATGATTAAAGAGGAATAAAGTGAAGGTTTATAAAACTGCAGGTGATACGGAGAAATTGTTTTGTCCACTGAAGAATGTGAACTGACAAATATTAAAACAAGTTAAAACCTGGAAGATTCAACACAAGCATAACAATGCTGTATTTCACAAAATCCACAACTGGGCTACAAAACCCCATGACACAGGATACAGTGCATGCTGAAATTTTTATGAATTCAGAAAGGGACTCGACAAATTAATCTGAAAAATTGCTTTGGGACTGTTGCATATCTGAGCAGTCACCTCTACAGGAAGTGGTGAAACCACAGATGGGAGAGTATCCATGCTTTTCTGTACTTACATTCTTTTTTTTTGTTGGTTGCTGTCAGAGGTGGATATTTGATCTGGTCCAGTGTTGCTTTTCTTATATTCCTACTGGTCTAAAAGCTAAACTTGTGCTGTTCGAGGTCTTGCTAAAACCAACACTCAGGCTTCCCTTGAAGCCAGCAGAATATCAGTGAGGATCTTATATTGCACTCAGCCACAGAAAGTATGTTGTATCTTTCAAAATATAATAATGCAGAGATTGAATCTTTGAACCCCCAAAGAGAAAGTGTCAGACTCAGGAAATGATGGCTCTTTGTGCAGTGCTTCTACCAATACAGTCAAAAAACAATGAAAACCTAAGATAGCTAAACTTGAACATGTTCAGCTTTATAAAACAACAGTTTCCACCAAATATGATTCTGATTTTCCTTATGGTGGTTAGGCTGGCCTCAGTTAAATAGACTTTAATTTGCCTTTTTACCTTAATTTGTCTGTGTCCTTATCTGTCCAGATCTAATGGTCATTGTTCTTATTAAATCTAAACCATTAGATTAAACATTTGAGCCATGTCTGATGTCTTGAATATTATTCTTACCAATACTTACCACACAAGTATCCATACAACTTTCAGAATGGCTGATTCTAGCATATTTTTGAAAGCTCATTGTCACGCTGCAATCAAAAGAACTATTACAGTTGTTTGTGAACATAGACTGTTTCAGGACTGGTTCAGGCTGAAGTGGTTTGTCAGCTTCCCCAAACCAAGTCTGTGCAAGCTGTATGAAGTGGTCAGGTATACCCAGAGATGCACTGTGATCTGTTACATTTACATAGGCAGCACCAGATGTTTCTCTGGAAGCAATTAAAAGGAGTATCTGCATGTAGCTCTTGATGTGAGGAAAGGAGACAGGAACCTTGCTAATGTGATTATTGTTTTAGTATGATAATGAAATAGTACGTTATGGAATGTCATAATATCGAGATGATTGTTCCTAAAAATGAAGGTGTAAGATGGATTACAGCTATTGCTAATCAAGAAAGTTTATTGCTGGATTTTGATTGGAAATTTCTCAGATTTCAAAAAAAAAAAAAAAGGAGCTGACCTCCTTTTCAGCCACTGTAGCAGTCTCCAGGGGTGGTCTAAAAGAGTCCCAGTTTTGTTTACAAACATTTGTCTGAGGTGTAAAGCAAAGTGACCAAAACTGATTGTATACTGAAATAGGGTGTGTACTCCCAGAGATAGCAGGAAAGCAGTGAAAATCCAGCCACAAATAGAAAACTGGATTAGGTATTTAATTATGGTCAGAGCAGGTTTTTTCAATAGCAGATCAAACTGCTGAATGAGAATTCTTAGTAGCTTAGCATGCTGTAATTATTGTTGTATTTTGAGTTCTATCTAGAAAATTACCAAATCTGTAGATCACAGAAATATTTCTTTAATTACTCCTGAATGACATTTCTGTTCTTTTTTTAAAACAAACATCATGCAAAAAAATGTATTGTTTATGAACTTCTAGTTTTAATCACCAAAACCCACCACAACTAATGACTTTTTCTGTACCCTGATTCTGTAGCATTAAAGCAGAATTAAATTCTTGCACTACAGAAGTATGCTAGTAGTGGTAAGCCCCACTAAGGGAATTGCTCATGCATTCATTCATGTGAATGCTGTTGTGTCCTCTCACTTTCTCTGGATTACACTGGGTATGAGTGGTCTAGAATTGCTGAAAAGGGCTTGGGTTTTATTGTTCTTTACTTGCTTGTTTGGCTTACTCTTTCTGTATTTTGCTGTTTGTGTTGCTTCTCTGGAATATGTTGGCCATATGTGAAAAAATACAATGCTACTTGGTTTCTCAAAAGGCCTGTGCCTTTTGGTAAGGGTTTCATTTATTTTACTTACTTAGGCTTTTTTTTTCAAATCTCTAATCCAGTGATATCTGAAATACCTGTCCAGAGTTTTCACACACTTTATCATCCTTTTCAATACAAGCAAGTGGCAAAAGGCTGAACAATACGAATCACAGACTGACTGCTGGGAGAAAGTGTGGTGAGAACAGATACCTCTCATGCTTATACTAGGTCCAAAAGGTGCTGTTATGATAAGTATATGGGTGAAGTTCACTTGGAATCCCAGAACAGATTTCAGTGATGTCCTTGCCTTTCAATTAGAACTATATAAAAGTGACAGAAATTTTGCATAGGCAAGTTTTTTATTGTATTGTTTAGAGAGCATATGGTCTGTGTTCTTTTGTATTGGATTTACAGCTAAATTACCTGTAAATGGAAAGTGCTAGTTGGATGAAAATTAGTTTTATATGCTTCAGAATTTGCCATTTATAGATTATATTGTTTTGAAACATGTACGAACAGTAAGGTAATGGCTGGCTTTATATTTGGTCTTAATACATTGCAGTTCAACAAATATCTCCCACACTTCCATTACCATATAAAAACTTGAATTCCAGCCTAGGGAAGTGGTGGCTACAAAGAACAAGTGATGATAACTTGAAAATATTTAGAAGCAAGAAGGATGGCGATAAATAATTAGGGTAGTGTTTGGAACGATATTGTCTGTGAAGAGTTATAAACAAGCACATTTAATTAGAATATCTAGAAAAACAATTATGGTGTATGTTTGACAGTAAAATGGCCTCCCAGTGAGAGAAGCTCTTTCATTACAACTTGTTTAATTATATTTTCTCAAGTAGGAAGTTATAGAAAAGTGATAATTTTAGTAAGAATAAAAAATAAAAATAAATGCATATTTCAAAATAGTGCATTTTTATTTGGAGTACAGCTGCAAGATGTATGAAACCCTCTTAGAGAAAATAATGTCAAGATATGCTTTAAGTGGCTGCCTTTGCCTAGGGGGCATAAAAAAGAAGTTATGGAATAATGACTTATACAACATATCGTGACAGTATTAGAAGAAACAGAAAATATATTCCTTAAATTGTACCATAACTGATAAAAGCTGTAAGAGTCATCTTTCATAAAACTTAGATCTTTTATTAAAACCAAAAAGGACTATGGGGGGGTAAATAAGGAAGACAATCTGCACACATGGTAAACTTATATGATATAACCCATTTTCTCTGATTCGTGGTGGATATACTACACATTTCAGTTCTTACCCATAACCATCTTGTATCTCATCTGCTTCACAGTCAAAACAATATTGGAAACTTATTTTGCTTTTATGTGGTCTCAGGCTGTTCTTCCTGTCCACCTATCTATTGTAGCAGACACATGCTAAATGTCCCAAGGGAAACTAAAATTCCATCAGAGTTGATTCAGCAGGCAGTGCTTGATACGCTGCATGAACACTTCTCTGAGGAGTCCTGTGAGTTTCTGG